GCTGCACTAGCTCAGGATCTGAGCAACATCCCCAGAGAGAGGAGCCAGCTCGAGCGCAAAACCAAAAATAACTGTTTGTGTGTGCAGGCAGGCCCAGGGCTGGAACTAGAGGTAGACCTGCAGTAAACGTTAGCCTTAGCAAAAATCACCCACTGTCTGGTTTGACCCAGAAGAGAGTTTGATGCAGTCCTATAGCAAAGTTCTAAAGACGAATCCAAACACTCTCCTAATAAAATGAATGGAAAGCAATTTGCATTTGTCATTGCTTATGTAACTGATTTGGACCTCCAGCTGTACAAAAGCAATTAAGCTCTCCATATTTCCATACATGGTCAATTATTATCTGCCTGTTCTTGACGTTCCCTTTTTTCCAAGAGGCGCTGTGTTCTGAGCTCCCCCTGTTTTTATCAGAAGCTTTAGGGCTACAAATCTCAGGCATCTGTCAGTCAAAAATATGTTTCTCATCTGGCTGTCTTTCAGTCACACTCAAGCCTCAAGAGACCTTTGCAATAAAACAATTCTCAAAACAACAGAAAAGCTGTTCGGTGTACAAGAAAAGAATTCACCGCAATTATAACAATGGAAATTAATAAAGCTATCATGTATTTGTAAGTGAAACAGTGCTTGCTGGCAGCACTTGGCGAGGAGATCTGCATAGAGACTTTGACTGAAGCACAGAAATGCTTCCTAGGAAGTGAAAAATGTGCCAGTTTACCTTCCAGATACAGACCCTGCCGGTGGGGTTTGCTGGGTTCACACATCTGGACTGCAATATTTATCTACCTTTAGACAACTCTTATTTTTTCTGCCTTTTTCAAGCTCCGTGAGGCTATTTGCATCTCCATTATTAATATAACAATACCACATTTTGCACATAAAAGGGGTATTTGGGATAGCTTGTATTTATGGCAAGCGGACGGTAGTATGAATATTCATAACGGATGGAGCTGCTGAGAACCAGCGAGATTTGTTGCAGGTAACAGCAGTTTTCATATGATGTACATGGGTACACCAGCATTGATCCTGCATAGGAACTGACCGAGGAATATTTCCAGGCCATCCTACCTCCTTGTGGTTGTAACACCACTCTTGCCAAAGGTGAGTTCTCTCTTCGACACCTCAGTGATTCACAGCAACGTAACAGAGCCTGTTCCATAACTTAACCCAGCAAGTTACCTCTTCCCAGTCTGCAGGGCACGTGATGCACAACATACAAGCAAATAAGCAGCTCTCAGAGGAGGTTCATTTACCTGACTCACGAGGGATGACTTTCCAACTCAGTAAGTTCATGATGTAATGGAAATTATACAAGAGTATCTACTACTATGTTCAGGCATTCCTCATGGTTATAGCAGCGCCGTGAATGTAATCATGATAATTAAAATTTAGATGCATT